CTTGAGCCCCCGCGGCCTCCGCCCGGAGGCTGCCGCGGGCCCCTGGGAGAGTGCGACAAGACTGCGCAAGGGGTTGCCACGATTAGTGGCGGGTCTGAGCATGAAGTGGGGTGGTCTTGCTGCAGAGGAGGCGGGGGGCCCGCCGACGCCCTCTCCACTCCGGCCCCGCTTAGGACCGGGGCGAGCGTGGCCCCGCCATCGAACCTAGTGCCGCTGCTCGCCCTGGAAGCCCTCGTCGCCGCGGCCGTATTCTCAGGGAGTCAGGGCATCCCCGCGTTGTGACCCGCAGCCTTCGCGCCTCCTCGGTCCCCAGCGGCTCCCGCCCGGGAGCTGCTGCGGGTCCCAGGGAAGCAACGACAATTTGGCGCAAGGAATTGCCGCGATTCGTGGCGGTGACGTCGCCGCCGGCGCGCCCCCCGGTTCCTTGCGGGCCGCGGGCGGCCGGGTCCCTGCGATCCTCCCTGGCGCGGCCGCCTGCCCTGAGGCCGCCCCTGCCAGGCGCCCCGACGGCTCGCGCGGCCGCCCGCTGTCTGGCGAGTCTCGGGCTGCCGCAGCGCCCCGTGGCTGGAGAGATGGGCCCGCAGGGCGGGGCGGCACCGCCTTTCTGGGAAAGGCGGACAGACCGGCGCTCCGTCGCCTGGAGAATCAAACCCCCGTTGCTCCGATTCGGCCGCCCTCCCCCGACAGTTGTTCGGACGGCCCCCGTCCGCGGAGGGGCGGCGACGGCGCTCCTGGAGAAGGCAGCCTCGTGGCGGCCGTTGGCCAAGACGACTTCGACGACGGCGACGACGGCCCTCCTCCTCCTGGTCTGCTAGGTCCCCCTGGGCCCCGGCGACCTCTGCCCGGGGGCTGTTGGGTTTCCAGAGGAACCGGTGGATTCGTTGCCACAGATGCTGCCACGGTCAGCGGCGTATCTAATCCGTGTGGGGAGGAGAACGGTGGGTGCCTGGGCGGGCCAGGGGACGGCGGAGACACAATCCAGAGCGCTCCAAGTGAGGCAGTACCTGGACTCCCAAGTGGCCCCTCCAGACCGCCCCGAGCGCCAGGGAGTCCCTTCCCCTCTCGTGGTTGACGCGATCGAACCTGGTGCCGCTGCTCGTCCTGGAGAGTCCTCGTCGCCACGGCCGGATAGCGGAACCCAGCAGCGCAGCCGTGAGCAGCAGGACGGGCGCCAGCAACACCATCGGGGGCAGGACGACAGACTCCCGCAGCGCGACCGCGAGCAGCAGGACGTACTCCAGCAGCAACGCCGTGAGCGGCGCGACGGGCCCCAACAGCCCGACCGTGCGCAACGCGAGGGGCTCCAGCAGCACGACCGCGATCAGCCAGACGGGCTCCAGCATCGCGACCGCGAGCGGCCAAACGGAAGCTGCTGGGCGGACCAAGCGGACGACAGCGATGCCGAGCCCGGCGCGCCTGGACCCGACGCCTTGCTCGACGCCACTGCCGGCGCCCAGCCCTGTACCCCTCCCGCCCTGTCCGCCGCCCCTTCTGGCGCCCCCGCCAACCCCCTGCCCGCCAGTCGGGGCGTCGCGTGGCGTTCGTCCTAGCGGCCCGCCACGTCAGCGGCTCAAGCCGTCGTTCGGGTCACCGCGGACACGCATGCGTACGTGAACGCCCCCCCGCCGTCTCCCGATGCTCCCCGCTGCTCCCCCGCGACGACGGCCGTGGGCGGCTTCGGCGCCGCGGGCAGCTCCAGCGCCAGCTCGCGAGGGGGAGCGCCGCGGCCTGTGCGGCGCAAGCTCCTGCTACTCGTCAAGTGCACCTGGGGCGCGTCGCCAGACACCCGCGTCCAATGAGACTTGTTCACCTCGGACTATCGGAAGCAAGGCGAAGGGCGGGCGCGTCCTGAGGATGTCCCAACTCCCGTCCTGCTCGACCTCCTTAGTTCGAGGGGGGCCCTCGTGGCCCAGGTCAGGAGGATGCAGCAGGCAGGTGGTGAAACTGGGGCGGCCTGGCAAAGATTTTGTGCTCGGCGTGGAGGTGGCACCCGCGACCCCAGCCGGCACGACGCCACTTTCCTCTGCCGCCTCCTCCACCAGTATGAGCCGCTCTGACCCGCCCATGCGCCGCCACTCCAGGGGGGCTCGCCCGCGTGGGCCAGCGGTCAGCGACGCGCCTGGTTTTCGCGGTCTGCGGCCTACTTGGCATCGTCCCACAAGGAGTTGCCCCGATTAGATGCGTTCAGTTCTGCCACGCGCTGTCCCCACTGGGCGGTGCCTTTTCCTGCTACGCTGCCAGCCGCCCCCGCCCCTTACCAGCCGGGCTCCTTGCCCCTGGCGCCACGCCCCTCCCGCTCGGCTGCCTGCCGCCTCCTCCCCTTGCCAGCCGGGCTCCCGCCCCTGTCGCCACGCCACTGTGGCGCGCGGACCGAGTCCCGGGCCTCACGGCCCCAGTTTCGCCGCCCCGCTGCGCAGCCCCAGACACAGCCGACGCTGCACGGCCGCGGGGCTCCTGTTGCCGCTGCTGACGCGCAGCCCCCCCTGGTGACTCTGGTTGCGGACGCTGCGCTGGGGCGCACCCCCTTCAGCCTGCCACCCAGTGGGAACAGCATTTTGCTGTTGGCGGTCCCTAGCCTGGACTCCAGTACTGCTCAGAACCTGCTCTACCTCGTACTGGGCATCGGCAACGCCTGTGGATACACCGACGCCGCGGCCCGGCTGCTGCCACGGCCCCCGCTGCCGCTGCTGGCCGCGCAAGCGCACTCAGCTTGATTTTTCCCGCGCCTGAGTGCCCTCCGCCACCCTCCGTCCTTCGCGGCCGCCCTGTCTGTTTAGTTCCTCCCTTTTGCACGCCGGCCAATTGGCGTGTCGGTCGCCCCGATCGCCAGCCCGCTGGAGGAGCACTTCTGCCTCGCCGCCGACGGAACATGATCGACCCACGAACCCGGAAAGGAATATAGCACTGTACCACATGGCAGCGTTTTCAAAGACACATGATTGGGTGACGGGCAAATGCAATGCTGAGTGTATCGATCTTGATGTACCCTGCCGAGGGCTGTGCTGTGCTGCACCGTGCTGAATTGCGATGTGCCATGGCGCGATTGTGCTCTATAGCCTCGATGCATCCGAGTCCTGACCGAACTGATCTGGATCTTAAGCTCGAGCTGCCTGAACACATAGTAGCTGCCCAAGGGAGCATGTCAGGAGGACGCGCCGCGAAACGTCCCAAGGGATGGCGCCAGGCGGCGTGCCAGGGGACGTGCCATGGGGTCGCACCGCGGGACGTGCCAAGGGGACGCGCTACGGAACGTGCCAATGGATGTGCCACGGGATGTGCCAGGGGACGCGCCACGCGACGTGCCAGGGGGACTCGCCAAGGGACGCCCCACGGAACGTGCCAAGGAACGTGCCAAAATGCAATGCTGAGTGTATCGATCTTGATGTACCGTGCCGAAATATGTGCTGTGCTGCACCGTGCTGAATTGCGATGTGCAATGCCGCGATTGTGCTCTATAGCGTCGTGGATCGAGACCTCCTTTGCATCCGAGTCCTGACCGAACTGATCTGGATCTTAAGCTCGAGCTGCCTGAACACATAGTAGCTGCCCCAGAGCTAATTGACAAAGGGACATGCCAGGAGGACGCGACGCGGAACGTCTCAAGGGACCCGCCAAGCGACGTGCCAAGGGACGTGCCATGGGGACGCACCGCGGGACGTGCCAAGGGGACGCGCTACGGAACGTGCTGGGGACAAGCGTTTCGCTCGAGACATCCTGCCAACATCCTCAGAATTCCTGCGCGCGGGACGCGGCACGCGCGAGACATCCTCGGAATTCTTGCGAGCGGTACGTGAAAACAAGCATTTCGCCTGAGACATCCTCTGAATTCTGGACCCCACGAGGCCCCCCCTACGAGGCCCCCCAATTTTGCAAAACCAGCGTTTCGCTCGAAACGTCTTCAACAAAGTATGGAAGACAAGCATTTCGCTCGAGACATCCTGCCAACATTCAAGGACATCCTCGCAAAACAAACGAATTAATCTAGACATCCTCGCAATTCCTGCGCGCGGGACACGGCACGCGCGAAACATCATCGGAATTCCTGCGCGTGGGGCGCTTTTCCGCGTCGCGGTCGGCTCTGCAAAACCAGCGTTTCGCTCGAGACATCCTCAACAAATTCTGAAAACAAGCGTTTCGCTCGAGGCATCCCCAACTCTGCAAAACCAGCGTTTTGCTCAAGACATCCTCAACAAATTCTGAATTACACTGCGTCCGCGCTCCCAGGGCTACGATCCCTCGTAAATTACACTACACCCGCGCTCCCAGGGCCACGATCCCTCGTAAATTACGCTACGTCAGCGCTCCCAGGGCCACGATCCCTCGTAAGGGCTCCTGGGCCCTCCTGGGTCTTCCTTGGACCTCTTGGGCCCTCCTGGGCTCTCCTGGAGCCTCCTGGAGCTTCTCCTGGGCCCTCCTTGGGCCCCCTGGTGCCTCTTGGAGCCTCCTGGGTCCTCCTGGGCCCTCCTGGGCTCTCCTGGGCCCTCCTGGGCTCTCCTGGGCTCTCCTGGAGCCTCCTGGGCCCTCCTGGGCGAAGTCAAGGTCCGAAAACACATGGGACTTGCCACATTTCTGAAATTCGGTGCCACCCCTCACGCAGGTCGGCGGGGTCAGGATCCGAAAACACATGGGATTTGCCACATTTCTGGAATTCCGTGCCACCCCTCACGCAGATCGGCGGGGTCAGGGTCCAAAAACACAAGGGATTTGCCACATTTCTGGAATTCCGCGCCACCCCTCACGCAGATCGGCGGGGTCAGGGTCCAAAAACACATGGGATTTGACACATTTCTGGTATTCCGTGCCACACCTCACGCAGATCGGCGGGGTCAGGGTAAAAAAACATAGGGGATTTTTGCTATTTCCGAACTTATGCAACTTCAAGAATCCAAAACTCTGTTCCCAGCGCCGTTCCAGAGGCCGCGGTACCTCGTTATTTATCGAGCGAGCGCGTTTACCTAGTTTTTTATAGTTTAAAGTCGATGTCGGAAAAAGTGGACTTCACCTGTGAAATATCGAGGTTTCCTTAAAGGCAGTAAAATTCCAAGAGCACGATCTGCGTGAGGGGTGGCGAAAAATTGCATTCGTCCTCACACTTGAAATCCGCCGGCCCCCTTCGACCTCGTAATTTATCGCACAAGAATTCCGCCGGCCCCCTTCAAGTAAAAACCGGGGGGAAGACCGGAAGACCATCTAAAAGAGAACCCTGGGCTCGAGCCCTTTCCGGGAAAAACGTATTTGATCAATTTCTTCTCTGGCTGGTGGTTGAACGTAGCGCGCAGCTCGCCACGCACCTTGAGAGTATTGCTGGAATGTGCATTTCTATTTTGTCACAGCGGGTGGCATCGTGTCTCCTTCGCCATTGTCTTCAACGCGTTCGTGAAGTGATCGAGCGGCCCACCAAGCGGTATGATCCCTCCATCGCCGAATCATATTCTTCTTGCTCTCTTGTCCCTTTGTCGATTTCTGTGCCCCGTTGGTACGGGGATTGACGATTGCAGTGTCGCAGCGCCGTAGGTGGGGGATGAGGAGGAAGGGAGGCGGAGGAGGCGGAGGAGGCGGAGGAGGAGGAGGAGGAGGAGGAGGAGGAGGAGGAGGAGGAGGAGGAGGAAAAGAAGGACCAGGACAAGGATGCTTCTCAGTAGTCGGAGGAGGACGGACGAGCAAGGTCGACGTTTGCCCTGACGCACTAAGCACCCACTCTCGAACAACCCCCTGCGTCCGTCCTCCGGCTCGAGGCCGAGCAACTTCATGGCCGCGAGCAGCTTCTCGGGGGCATGCCGATTCTCCTCCACAGTGTATGTCCAAGATCAATCATCGTCGAATCGCAGAATCGGGTCGGATTGGAACGTGCATCGAGTCGGCCTTCATCGGCACGGAGTCGGAGCCGAGTCGACCGGACGCGCCAAAATGCACAAGTATGCCATGCGAAAAGATGGCCGCATCGGGTCGCTCGGCGAAATCGGCATCGAATCGGGTCGATCAAATCGAGGCGGGCCCTGGAAATTCTCAGGCCGGCTCATACTTGCAACGTCGCGAAATACGTCTAGAGTCCTAGCCTCTTTATCTCGGATTCGGTGTCCTGTGTGGCCCCCAAAGAGGACGACCAAACTGCACAAACACAAACTCTCGGGGCTGGAATCCCCCTCTCTGGCGCGCGGAGTGCGCCACGGGGGCCCAACGCGGATCCAAGAAATCCGCGCGCGGAGCTTCGACGGTTTTTGCTCATGCAATTTGCCTTCTGCTTCGATCCCAAACCGTTGCACAGCGCCCCGCGACGAGCAACAAGTGTCACATAGACGCGGTCGGGAGCCCTGAGGGGGCCACGCGCAGAGGCCTCTCGGGGGTAGCTGTGGTGTGCGGACCTCTCCCAGGCCAGGGGGGGGGGGTCTGCCACACGGCCCTGCCCTTCCCCAGCATCGGCAGTTGGCAGGACTGGGCTTCGTGGGGCCTGGTTTAATTGATGGAAGCCAGGGGACGCGCCCCCCGCCTCAATTCCACTGGCTGGAACTGCCGCCACCCGAAGAAACACCAGCTACGGCAGATCTGATTCAATGGTTCTGGCTTATTTTTGGGACTTGGGGCTCAATCATAAGCCGGCTCCCCTTACCCGGGGTCCTGGCTATATCTGGCAAAATGCCGCCGACGCACCGAAGTGCATGGTGTCGCAGGCGGACGCCGGCTAGATGCCGGCACCCATCCTGGCCGGGCCCGCCCTGCGTCCAGGATGGGCCCGGCCAGGATCGGTCTCGGTCTGTGTAGCAGGCGCCCCCAGTGACGGCGTGCTGTGAGACTGGGAGAAGGCGGCATGAACATTACCTTTTGGAGGTCCGCGCGGATTCCTTGGATCGGCGCCGGTCTTCTGGCGTCTGCGCCAAGCCCGGGGGCCCAGCGCAGACGCCAGAAGCCCGCAAGGACCTCTGGAAGTCTATGCCCGCGCCGCTTCTTCTTCTTCTTCTTGTTCTTCTTCTTCTTCTTCTTCTTCTTCTTCAAGCGTCGGCGTGACGTGCCCTTCTCTGGGGGTCTCCCTGTCGACGATCGCGCGCACCGCGCGCAACTTCTCCCCGCCGGGCATCTCCCCGGCGGCCCGCCGGCGGGCTTTTCGAGCCCCCCGCCGCCGCTCCGCTCGGGGGCGCTGGCTGGGCAGCCAGGGGGCGCTCGAACCGCGGCGGGCGTGGCGGCGGGAGCATTGGTGGCACCTGCCTCGAAAGGCACCTTCCAGCGGGGGAGGAGGAGGGGAGGGAGGAGGGAATGAGCGGGGGAAGGAGGAGGTGGAGTTGGAAGTGGAGGACGAGGACAGGCTGGGGTCCAGTCTTTGGGCTGCACCGCCAGCAGGCTCTCGTCGGAGTCCTTCGGCTTCGCCGCTGACGACCCCACTTCGGGCGGCCCCTTTGGGACATCGGAAACGGTAGTGGAGCCTCTTGGGGCGCCTCTTGGGGCGTCTGAGACGCTGTCAACAACCAGAGAAGCTATTGTGCTGAAAATGTACGCCACAATCCCAGGACCATCTTGGGAAGCACCTTGGAGCCCTCATGGGGCGTCCTGGGTGCCTCTTGGCACTTTCTGACGTCATCTTGGGGCGTCTTAGAGCGCTCTCGGGGCAATTTGGGCGGTCGTGAGCCGGTCCTGGCGGCATCTGGAACCGCCCGAGAGCTTCGGGCTCCCATAGGCCCCCTGGTGTTCCCATGCCTACCCTTGGCGCCGGTCCGGGCGCCCCCCCGGCCTACTCTCTCTCTCTCTTTCTTTCTTTCTCTCTCTCTCTCTATATATATATATATCTTTCCCGATATATGCATATACACACATATGTATGTATGTCTATATGTTCATACATATGTATGTACATATACCCATATCTATATATGCAGTTCTAGATACGCATATACACGCACATGTCTATGTCTATGTTCATATATATATATATATTCATGCATATGTACATGCATATGTCTATGCGCGTGTATCGGATTACGTAGCTGTAAATATTTACATATGTATCTGTATTTATGTACGCATCGGTACACGTGTGTGTATGTGTACATGTATGTACATGTACTCATGAATATGCAAGTGCAAGTGTGTATGTGCATGTGTATGTGTACATGTATACATGTAGATTCAGGTTCATATTCATGTGTATGCATGTGTATATGTACATGTTTGTACAATGTTGGAAAGTATCCATTATAGGTCGGTTTATACACACAATACACATATCAAATATGTACATACGTATTTAACTGTACGTGTGTGATTAAATTCGCATTTACGTTGTTCTGTTGCCAGGAAGCGCATGCAAAGTGTTCTGAGCAGTCCATGCAGGAACTCGGGGTTCCTAGTAACAGCTGGGATCCCAAGCTCAGAACTCAGACGCTCCATATTTAATTTGGCTCGTAATGAGGAGTCTCTCAGCGATCCTTCGTGCATTGCTCTGCCTTCCGACTTGTAAGTCCTGGGGGGGGGGGTCTGCATCTTTTCCGCGAACAAGGGGGGCCCTGCTGTCCGCGCGAGGCAGTTTGAAAGCATATTTCGCATCAAATTGCGCGGCGCGCTTGCCTCGGCAAGCAATTTGCCGCGACGCCAGGAGCTGCTCTGACGGCACTTCCCGCGTCGCAGTGCGCTGGCCCCCTCGGCGAGGCAATGAGAAGTTTTGTAGTGGGCGCTGATAGATAAGATGGGGATTCTGCGCCACGCCCACGCAGGACATATACAGATCCGTGGCGGGGTCAACGACGTCGAAATAATCGACGTTCGGTTGGCGAAGGAGAGCAGGCAAGGGTTCTGCGGGAGAGCCAATGGGAAATGCGCAGATCCTGCAAAGGGCCCAGGGAGAACGCGTAACAATACGATGAGAGGCCAGGAGAGCAAAACTGATATGCTTTGAGGAAACGACAATGCACGCACCAGCGTCCAGAGACGGGGCGCTGGAGGGGCGGGGTGCGAGCGGCGGCCCCTGAGCCCCTTGCCCCGCGCTTGCGGGGCGGGCTCGCTGGCCGCCGCAATGGTCCTGGGCCGCATGCGCAATGGATGAGGGGCCTGGCGGGCCGCCGCGCGCGCTGCGGCACTGGGCGAGGCCGCGCGGGGGAGAGAACCAATGCGCGAGGGGGCGGGGCGCCGCGCGCGCGACGGCCTTGGCCGATTCGGCGCGCCGAGATAGAATGCGCGACGCGCCAAGGCAGCCGCGGGCTCGGAAGCTTCCGCCCACCGCGAGCGGGGAAGAACACATTTGCGCGGAGTGGGGGGGGGGGCTGCCCAATTCTGCGCGACAGAAAACAAGGCGCGGCGGGCCGGGAAACGCCGCGCGCGGGGCGGCTCAAGCGAATCGCGGAGGGAACGGCGCCGCGCGCGTGGGGCTTGGGCCGCCGCCATGGCGGCCCTTGCCCATGCGAACAGGATGCGGCAACTCGCGCGGGGGAGAAGATCTCGTCGTCGCCGCCGATGTCACCAAATTTTGGTCTTTCGACCACCCGAGGCACCCCCCCGAATTCGGCCTCCAGGAGCTGTTGTCGTGCCGGGGACCACCGCCGAAAGTCCGGGATAAGGATCGATCTCCCTGGCCGGTGCCACCCCGTCGCAAAGGAAGGGGCACGGGGTTGATCGAGGCTCGAGGCATGAGACTCCTAGTTCTTGGGCGATATCCGCCCCCTCTGGGCCTTCAGGAAGCTCCTCGTCGACGCAGCTGGGTCCACTCTCGAACTCCTGGCCGGGCGCGCCCCCAGCTGGGTCTCAACGATCCCCGAACCTGTCCAGGAGGTGGAAAATGAGGCCTGGGACAGGCCCCATGAAGGCCCGAAGAAACTCACAGAAGACTACAACAAAACTTCAAAACCATCTCCTACAAGGCCCCCCCTTTAACCCCGCGCGCTACGTAGGGCAAGCCGAAATCCCATGATTGCCCAGCGATCGCGTGCGTTCCGCGAATTCTGTCTTTCACTCTTGCTGCCGCCCCGAGGGGTCGGCGGTGCGGCGTAGGCCAATGAATAATGCGCAACCAGCCGGCGACCAACCTCTGTCTCCTCTGGCTGCTCTCTGACAAGCTCGACGCTCGCGCTCTGGAGATCCCTGCGCTCTGCAAAGCGCAGAAGGTCGCGCGTTGGAAGGACAGCGGAGAGGGGCCCTTCATGAAATTGGCAATGTTGCACCAGCCAGCCCACAACGTAGCGGCTGGGAGAATTCTCAAGCTAGCTGCATCGGATCCGCTCGCTTTCGCCAGCGCTTGAGCCCATCGCGGCCGCGGAGGTGTAGCTCCGACGGGGCGCGGGAAACGCCTCTCTCTCTCTCTCTCTCTCTCTCTCTCTCTCTCTCTCTCTCTCTCTCTCTCTCTCTCTCTCTCTCTCTCTCTCTCTCTCTCTCTCTCTCTCTCTCTCTCTCTCTCTCTCTCTCTCTCTCTCTCTCTCTCTCTCTCTCTCTCTCTCTCTCTCTCTCTCTCTCTCTCTCTCTCTCTCTCTCTCTCTCTCTCTCTCTCTCTCTCTCTCTCTCTCCCTCTCTCTCACCGCGACGGTCGGCGCCCTATCCTGGCGACTTTTTGGCCCCGGCATGGAGGGGGCGGGCCCTCGAAGCACCTCCGCGCGCGCCGCCTTGACGTATCTCCCCATGTCCAGGGTCTCGTGGCCTCTGTTTGGCATGGTGCTCCACGACGGCCAGTGCGCGCCAGGTAGGGCGTCCCTCGCAAGAAGGCCCCCGCATGCCCAGACAGGCTTGGGCCCCGAAAGCTTCGAGATGGCCCCCGGGCGGCGGGCGCTATAGGGGCGGAGTTTTCCACGGGCCAGTGTGCAGGCTCATAAAGGAATGCGGGGCAAGCAACTTTCGGACGCGGAGCACTTCGCTCACCGACGACTGGCGCCCCCGACGCCGGCGGCGTCGGATCTCGCGTCGGAGCTTTCCTGGGGTGGCGAGCCCGGACCAAAAAGTACGAAATCCGCCTCTTGGTCGTAGCAGCGGGCCGCAGCAGCGACCGGCGCGCCGCCCGCGGCGGCGACGTCGCCCCAGTCGATCGCCCCGGGCCAGCGCAATCGCACAACGCGCCGAGCTTCCGTGCCGATCTCCATCGACACGATGCCGAAAACGCACGCGGGCAGCTTCGTGGCAGCCGTGGGCAGGCCGGCCGCGCAGTCGAAGCGCCCCATTGTCAGCGCCCGCGGCCGCCCAGTGCTAGAAGGGTCGGACCGTCGAGCCCCCGCTATCGCCGGGGCCGCCTCCTGGGCAAGGAGAGGGCCCCAGGCTGCAGCGGCGTCGTCGGCGCGATACTCGATCGCCAAGCAAGCCGTCGCCGACGGCGCCCGGCTGCAGGCCGCTCGGGCTGCCCCCTGCAAGGGCCAAGAACTCGAAGGCTGTATGTTTTGTCCTAGTGGCCAGGCACCAGCCTCCCCCAGTCTAGGATGCGTCCGAACAGACTGGGTTAGAGTCCACCTTCGCTCGGAGGTTCGTCGACGTAAGCGGCAGCAGCAGCGGCGCTGCTATGACCTCGCCAGCCGTGCGCATGTTCCAAAAATATGGCCTCTGCGGGGCCGCGGCCCACGCGGCGTCCAGAACAGAGAAGTGCGACCTCCAGAACTCGAACTCCCGCGCGAGCAGGCCAGCGATGCTCGCCAGGCCCAGGGGGGGCAGGTCCTCCTCCCCGAGCGTGAACAACGCGTGCGTCAACAAATCCATAGTTTTTGCAGCGGCGTTTCAGAGAACCCTTCCAGCCGTGCCATCCACTAGGGCCCCCATCTGGGTGACCACGGCAGCCTGGTCCACCCTTCTTCCCCTCGTTGAAAGGGATGCCCTGCTCGCGGTAAGCCTCGCCCATGAGAGTCGCCCAGTCGCTGGTGCTGCCCTCGATGACATGTGCGACCCAGGGGCGCGCGAGCTCCGTCAAGTCGAAGTCGTCAAGGTAAACTTGCTCGCCAGTCGCTCACAGCCCCTGGAGGGGGCAAGCGGTCTTTCCGCCGCTCCCTGTCTGCAGTTAGCGGCGCCCCATGCCTGCTCGCAGCGCGCGTATTCTTCCAGTGGGCGTGCTGGAAGAATGTGACAGACAGGAGCCAACCCGTGGGCAAAATAGCGTGAGTGAGCCGCAGATTTCCGTCCTGATCGATTCCCAGCTCCCGCGCTGGCACGGGCCTGGTGAGGGCCACGTAAGGGGCCCACTCTGCTAGGAGTGCCCAGACGTAGAAAGCTTCCTTCTGGTCCTGCGAAATCCACTAGATGTTCTCGCCCTCGTCCAGGGCGGTCTTCGCCCACTGCGGAGCGGCCGGGAGGGTGCCCGCGTTCCTGTAAATCTGGCGCAGGTAGCTGCGAATGGTGCCCAAGTTGATGATGGGGCGCAGTGCCGTGGAGGGTCCATCGGGCGCTGAGCCCGACTTGGGCACGCCGAACATCCTCCCACGGTGATGGAAGATATCGCTTTCGTCGATCAACTTGGCGACCCCAATGTCAAAAAGGAAGCGGACGATCTGGAAATGCTCTGGGTCGCTAACCACGTGCACCTGCGCCCTGGGAGGATCGCTGGGCCACTGATACTCCGGGAGACAGCAGAGCTCCCGCCGCCGCAACCATTCCCGTGCGTCTTCGTCGCAGAAATCCAAGAGCTGGCGTGGGGCGACGAACCGCTTGTCGGGAAACACCGCCCTTGATCTGGGCCAAGGTCAAAGCGAGCGGCGCCTGGGCACCAGCCCTCCCAGACCGACAGTCAGCCAGCCCGGAGTTCTCCGTTCGTGCGCCACCGCCCACAGGGGACACCTTCAGAAGCGGACTGGCCGAGGAACCAAGTGGTGGCCGCCGTGATGCTATCGATGGCTACCGCTTGCCCCAGCGTGGACTTTGCCGGGTGAGCCCAGGCTGAAGCATCCAGTGCACCACATTGCAAATAGCTCAGCTTCATCGTGGCGAGGTAGATCCTGCCAGCCTCGGTGTACTCGTGTGGGATAGGTGCGCCGACAGCTCGTAGCCGTTCGACCTTTCCCAAAAACTGGGCCGGGTAATAAGAGGGAAATTGCAATATGTTCCTAGACGTCCTCGCCCCGGCCTCGGATGGCGTCCTGCATGGTTCGAATTCCCTGAAAAACTTACCGAGGCGGCCCGGAAACTCCCGCGAGCCCACGAGCAGCGAGAGGCCTATGTCGCAGACGGTGGTCTGCGCGGCCTCCGAGCATGGGCGGCAGCTAGTGCGCAAAAGCTCCTGACACCGCCGCACAGGGGATGATCCCCCATAGTTTCTTGATGTGGACCGTCCGAACCGCGCGTGCTCGGTGATCCTCCTTGGGCGCCCTCTTCGAGACGAAAGCTCGCACTCGCTCTCGCCAGCCTTCCAGACCTCCCCAGCTCGAGGCGCCACCGGCGCCTTCGCCAAGGCAAAAAGCCCGGCGGGGGCGCCGTCCTCCGGGCTGAGTTCCACCGTGCCAGTCGCATTCGGATTCGTGGCCTTCGTCCGTGTCGATGCCCCCCTGTCGCGAGCTCTGGCCGCGGCGTCCAGCAAGGCGAGGGGCGCTCCAGGCGGCAAGGCCAGGGGCCTCCCCTGCACGCGCCCTGTCGGCGGAGATCGGCTCCTGCTGCCGACTCGGGCGCTGCGCTCAGCTCACCTATCGGCGAGCGATGGCCTGCACGGGAATGGCCACTCACTCCACTCCCCCAGCCGGGCCCTTAGCCCGAGCCGCCGATCTTGCCGAGAAACGCTTTCATCTTCGTCTCTCCCTCGGCGACGGTGGTCGCAAACTCCTCGTCGTGGGCGCTCAACGAGGAGCCGTCCAAGTCCACCGGCAGAAGCTCGAACCATTTCGATACGAGCGTGTTCCCCTTCTTGACCTCCTTGCGGAAGGACGTAAATGCGACTCGTCAACATGTCGCAAGCCTCGAGGGCCTTCCCCGACATCAACAAGTCCAAAGAAGTTGCGATAGTCCGCATCTCCCGGTACCTGCCCTCGCCGACCCCCGTGGCCGTCTTGTCCTTCATGAAGAGTCTCTGCAAGAACTTCAAGACCACAGCCTTGGGCACTGAGCGGTTGTCGAAGTTCACGTCGTCTTCGTCCAAGTGCTCCAACGTGTACTCGCACTCCCGTTCTGAAATCTTGCCGGGCAGGGTCCGTACGGGCCGCTTCAAAACAGTACGCTTCCCGGACCACGACGATGGCAAGGCTGAACTACCTCCGGCGCCATCGTCGCTCTCGAAGAGCACGTCGTCGTCGCCGCTGGAGCTTGTGGACACCTTCCGGAGTGCCCGCGCCAAAACCTTGACCAGAGCCTTGGAATCATCGGGCTCCGCATCATCGGGAGAAGAACCCTCTTCCAATTCTGTTCCGCTGGCCCGTGTTCCCCAGAGTGCAGCAAGTCCTCGAGCTTCCCCCTGGGCGGCGGGTCCTGGGCGCGAGGCGTCCTCGCCCGCGCGTCACGCAGACACCTGCGGAGGTCGTCCCGGCAGAACGGCAGCCCCGCCACCACCGCGACCGCGAGCACCTCGTAGGCCGCGCCGCCGCCGTTCAAGCAGCCCATCTCGGTCGCCATCACGCTCGGCCCCAGAAGGCTCGACCTCGCTCCCCGAGAAATCGCCCGCCCCATCGTCTTCATCAACCAGACTGGGATGATCACCTGCGAGAGCGGAGAGGCCAGTACGGGCGGCAAGTCGGGGCTTCTACCGATCCAGCGCGTGTGCAAGACCTGCGCCTGCCTGCGCTCCATGACCCTGAACTCGTCGATGTGGATGAGCTCGTGCTCCATGGAACCACCTAGGCAACTCTCCGACGCGCCGCGGCAAAGGTGGTGTTTTGCCGGGGACGCCTGGGCCCCGATCCACCACCAGTAGTAGCCGTCGGAAGCAGAGATCACAGTGAGGTCGATCTCGGCCCCTTCCGAATCCAGCGGGCCCAACGACTCCACGCGCGCCAGCGCGTGCCCCTGTGGCTCCCCCTCGTCGTCGCGCACGAGGAAGAGCAGGAGCTGGCCGGGCTGCGGCATACTCTCCTCTAGCAGCTCGTTCTCAAGCTGGGGCCTCGCCCAGCTGAGCGACTGCCCGTCGTCAGTGCCCGCCATCCTTCTGAGTGTAACGGGGCCTCGTCACTCCCTTGCTCCTGGCCTCGGAGGGCGGCGGACCGCAGGGCCTGGATCGCCTCCTGCAAGCACCGCGCTGACTGGCAATGCCCGCGAAGCCGCCGCAGGAGCTCGTGCGCCCATGCCGGCAGCTGGGAAAGCAGCGCCAGCTGGGAGCGGAGCGGCGCTCCTCTGGGTGCCTCCGGGACCGCTCGCGCATGCGCGGGGCCGCGGCGGCGAATCCAGCTCGGAGGCGGCGGTGCCGCCTGGCCTGCTGAGAGGGCGGTGCCGCACCTCCCGGCCAAACCAGTATGAGCTACAACTCACGGCGCTCCAGGGAGGTGATACATGCATCTCCTGGGGGGCCTCCCCTGGTCCATATAGTTAACACTACACAAATCATATGTATACATACCTCCTCCTTTTCTTTCTCCTTTGCCCGACACCGACTTCCGCACATTGCCCCTACTTTGCCTTTTGTTCAAAGGCTCCACCGGGCGGCGGTCTCAACTTGATCACCCGTCGAGAGGAATCGCTCGCGCGCGTGTGCTTAGTCGTTTGCGCGGCTGTAGCGGCACTCGGTATTGGAACCACACGCAGGCTTTAACCGAAATGCGCCCTCCTCTCTCCTCCGTCCTGCCTTCCCCGCTCCCCGCCCCTGGCTCCCTATGATCCTCTCTCGCCGTCCTCCGGGGTCCCTTCTCCGCTTCCCTCCCATTCTCCCCTGCCTCCCTCCCTCCCTGCTCCCTGCTCTCCTCTCCTGCCCGCTCCCTCTTTCATGCCCCTGCTCCTGCTCCTGCTCCTGCTCCTGCTCCTCTTCCTGCTCCTCCTCCTGGGATCGGTGTCAGCGCCCCGTGCCCGGAGCGCGGTCGTGTCGCGTCGACCAGGCTCGTGCCGGAGCGAAGATGGCGACAGCGACAATGAGCAGGAGGAGGACAAGGACGAGGGGGGGGGAGGGCGACGAGGAGCCCTCTTCCTCCTCCGCCTCTTCCTCCTCGTCGCCCTCGTTGCCTCCTCTTTCTCCTCCTCCTCCTCCTCCTCGCCCTCTGCTGGTGTCAACACCCTCATTGGGTGTTGATAGAGTGCCCCTGGCCCGATGTGACCCCAACTGTCTGCTGTGTTTCTGGGTCCGTCTGGGCCGCGCGAGGGCGTTCTGGACGCAGCGGGCGGGGGAAGGGGCTCCCCAAGGGACGCCTCTGGCAACACCCGACCTTGGCGTGCTGGCGTGTAGCCAAATCACTGAAGAGGAGAGGGAATAGTATGATGGTGCGGCGGAGGCAGAAGATGAAGGGAAGATTAGGACACACAACGTGAATAGGATTATTGACATATTTTCCCCAGCGAAATCTGGATTGACGGTGGACCGCAGATCCTGATATTTTTTCCGCCGCTCCGTTTCAGCAGCCTAGTACGCCCGATCAACTGCTCCGAAACCCTCCCAAAAAAGCGGACCGCTGGGGGGAACTTCCTGACTGCACGGCTAAGAGCCCTTGGCGGGGTGCCTGCAGCAACACTTGTCATCCAGACGAGGTGTTCAAATAGCCGGATCAGAAAGTGCTCAACTACTCAGGGATGGCGTGTGCAGAGGTTCAATCAGGAACCGAGGACGGGCTAGACTTTCTCGGCGTTGCATCCACTACCGTGCGTAGAGATCACCATTGCCCGTGCCAGCGATAAGAAAACACAATGTGTCTCTTGATCTGTCGCAGAATTTTCGAATGTCCTGAGACTTTCCCCCTCCCCCCATCCCCTCCCCTTCCCCTCCCATTTCCATCTACCCTCATCCCTCCTGAGGACTGAGAAGAAAAGCCTTGACATGTCCGCGAGCGGCCCGACACTTCAAACATTCAACTGCACACATTTGTCTCATGCGATCGTCCTGCGCTCCTGGCTTACGCTTCCCTTTCTCATCACTCAACTTATCGTCTAGAGTAGGCGCACGCAGAGATGATGCCTACGCCTCTCAACCATCTTGCCGACGCGGTCGTGCGCACGATACAATCACGCATCACCATCCATTGAGCTTTTGAGAGGACATTGGGTGCGTGAGAGCTTCTTTGAAGCCGCCCCCCACCAGGGCACAGTCGTTCGCATTGGTGTCGTGCGTGACGTGCGCTCGGAGCTGTGTGCGACTTCCCCACGTCGCTGGGGTGACTCGCAAGAAAGCCTTCCTGCTGCCACGGAGGGCCTCGGGCGCCTGGCGTCGTGGTGTTATTGTGCCGCCGCCGCGTGGTTTCCGCGACCAATGACGGCGTCGCCAAGGTCGTAAATGGATAGTGACTGCGTGCGGCCCGTCGTTAATTTTTCCTGTGAACGCGTGTGTGGTGTGTGTGTGTGTGTGTGCGTGTGTGTGTGTGTGTGTGTGTGTGTGTGTGTGTGTGTGTGTGTGTATGTGTGTGTGTGTGTGTGTGTGTGTGTGCGTGTGTGTGTGTGTGTGTGTGTGTGTAAGTGTGTGTGTGTATGCCCGGCTTCCGTCTCCCTCCCGCCACCGCTGGGCGCCTCCTCCTTCCCCCCTCGTGCACCGCAGCATAATTCGCGATCGTATGCCTTACCAACGTCTATCCGCCAGCGCAGTCCCTCTGCCTGGCAGCCGACGTTAAAATGGTGTGTGTGTGTGTGCGTGCGTGCGCGCGTGCGTGCGTGTATGTGGTTGTGCGTGTGTGTGGTTGTGCGTGTGTGTGTGTGTGTGTGTGTGTGTGTGTGTGTGTGTGTGTGTGTATGTATGTGTGTGTGTTCTCTTGTCCACTGCCGGCGGCCTCATCTCGGCGGCACTCAGGGCTTCTTCGAAGCAGCCACAACAGCCATGGCCCTTTGCCCCTTTACAGATGCGTTCTCGCGAATCGCCCTGCTTCTTACCTGCCTGCCTGTCCAGTCACTCCCGCGGCGCCCTCTCGGCTCGCCGTTGGCCCTCTTCCCTCTGCCCCTCTTCCTCCTTGTCTTGGCATTCTTGTTTTTCTGTCCGCCTCTACTTTTCCTATACACCCTGCCTGACCTTTGCCGCCCGGCGGCCGACTACGTTCGGCTTCCCCTGGGTCTTCAGTGTTGGTCGCCTCCGCGAAGCACATGCTCTACTACAGCGGCTCACTGGGCGTTTGTACACTCGAGCCCACGACAGGGTCCCGATGCAGCCTGTCGGCCACAACGGGCGGGAGACGCCCCCCCGCAGCCTGGAGCAGCTCCTGATACCCACGACATAGGACGGCGACCCACTCTGTACCCCCACTCCTATCTCGGTCCAGTCCACGTTCGACAACAAGTTCGGCCTGCGTCAGGGCCTCATTGCTTCCGCTGCGACTTCTGCGGTAGCGGAGCCCTCACCCTGTACCGCCCGATGCGGCTGGAGGCGGCGGCCCCGTCGGCTCCTTCATCTTTCGTGCGGTCCCAGGACGCGGCCTCCAGGTCTTCGGCAGGCTTCCCCTTTGGACTCAGCTGGGCGCTGCGTGGAAGAACAAGACGTGCAACCTCACGTGGGCGTGCTCCCGCTTCTGTGCTACGCTGTGGCGCCTGGCACCAGACGAGGTCCAACACATCCTGCAAACCTGCGGCGCACAGATCGCGCCGCCGGAACTTATGCACTCCCTCCCCTCGCTGGTGCGGCCAACCCCCCTCTCAGGGCCCCCAGCGTCCAAGAAGCCGCGGCTGCTGGGCTCGAAGGCCACGGCCCCCGACCCATCTGCCAGGGACGCCTCGCTCTCGCTGCACCCCCGCGATCCGGGTCCGAGCCCGCCTGGGGTGCCACGGGCCTCGTGCCCGAGGTGACCGACCCTCCCCAGGCCTTGGGCGCCTCGCATCATCACGGGCACCTTCATGGACCCCGCTTCGGTCTCCAAGTCTCTCGCCGCGCCTCGACTGGCCCAGCAGGCAAGGTGCTCCCCGACGGCCGCGGTGGCCAGCGCGACCCGCACTTCCCCACGGGCCCCCCATGGCGCCCCTGCCGCCCAGGGGGGCACACTCGAGGCGCTTGGGCGCCGGCGCTCAACCAACTGGAAGCCCGCCGCCGCACTGGCCCGGGAGACCGCCCCAGCCCACGCCCCTGCTCCACCAGCACCAGGCGCATCCGACGCGCCCCTCGACCTCAACCAGTCAGCCCTCGACGTCATCGCTACGGCGGGCAATGGCGGTGCCCTCGTCCCCACTGGCGCCGCCAAGGACGGCCTGGTCAAGGGTCTGAGCAACATCTTCGCCTACCTCCGCAAAGAGAACAGACCTTCACCCCTGGCCAGGACATCCCCATCGCCGGTCTGAACACGGAATCCCTCGGGCAGGCCGTCGTCATGTACTGGCAGCTGGGAGGAGCCCAGGCCCAGATGTGGTGATCCTTCGTTGAGCACTCTGAAGAGCGGGTCCACGCGCCTCAGCGCCACCACCCTACAGCCCTGGTCCAATTCCTCAAAAGCGTGTGCGGTTCTGGCGGAGTCCCTGCGGTCAGTATCCCGGGGTCCAGCATCCCCCTCAGTGGCTCTCCGACCCCAACACCGACGAGATCGCCCACTGGGCTAAGCAGTCCCTCGCCAAGCAGTCCCTCGCCTCGCAAAACATCGTCCCCATAGTATTTTTGGAATATTTTTGAATATTCCTTCTGTAGAGGGACACGCCCGACTTTACCCCTGGGCGCGCGGAGGACCGCAATTTCAGGGTTGATTGTTGGCGCTTCGCAAACGCCTGGGCACCACGTTGCGGTCACCCCCGCCGCCTCCAGCCCGTCCGTTCGGTCCCCTCGTGGGCCTCGCCGCCTCGGTGGTTGGCCGCGGCCCTTCCCGCAGCGGCGGCCTCGCTCTTCCTTAGACAAGCGCGTTCCACTACTCGCAAAGTAACTACTCGCAAATGGCCTTGATCCGCCAAGGGGGATTTGCGATCCAATGCATCGAGGCAGACGTTTGTTTCTCGGACGTTTGCGAATAGGCACTTTGCGAGTAGTGGAACGCTCTCGGTGATTCCTCCCGAACACTTCCCTGGAAGCGGCGCGTGGTGCCACGTGCAAGGGGAGGACGCCGACCACTTCT